AGCATACATTCTTGTAATGTGTGTGTAGTATGTGTGTGTAGCATACATTCTTGTAATGTGTGTAGTATGTGTGTACATTCTTGTAATGTGTGTAGTATGTGTGTAGCATACATTCTTGTAATGTGTGTACATTCTTGTAGTATACATTCTTGTAATGTGTGTAGTATGTGTGTAGCATACATTCTTGTAATGTGTGTAGTATGTGTGTAGCATACATTCTTGTATGTGTGTAGTATGTGTGTAGCAATGTGTGTACATTTCTTGTAATGTGTGTAGTATGTGTGTAGCATACATTCTTGTAATAGGTTGTAGTAATGTAGTGTGTGTAGCATACATTCTTGTAATAGGTGTGTAGCATACATTCTTGTAATGTGTAGCATACATTCTTGTAATGTGTGTATGTATTCTTGTAATAGTAGCATACATTCTTGTAATAGTGTAGTAGTGTGTAGCATACATTCTTGTAATAGGTGTAGTATGTATGTTGTAGCATACATTCTTGTAATGTGTGTATGTGTGTAGCATACATTCTTGTAATGTGTGTAGTATGTGTGTAGCATACATTCTTGTAATGTGTGTAGTATGTGTGTAGCATACATTCTTGTAATGTGTGTAGTATGTGTGTAGCATACATTCTTGTAATGTGTGTAGTATGTGTGTAGCATACATTCTTGTAATGTGTGTAGCATGTGTGTAGCTTACATTCTTGTAATGTGTGTATGTGTGTAGCATACATTCTTGTAATAGGTGTAGTATGTGTGTAGCATACATTCTTGTAATGTGTGTAGTATGTGTGTAGCATACATTCTTGTAATGTGTGTAGTATGTGTGTAGCATACATTCTTGTAATGTGTGTAGTATGTGAGCAGAAGATACATGTAAGTTGCATGTGTATGAATAATTCATATTACCTTATAAATAAGTCTATGCAAATGCGAACTTGTAAATATCTGTGTGTGTATGCATGTATATGGACAATTGTGTATGGTTTGATGAAAGCATTTATGTATACAACGGCAAGCCTATACGTTTGGAAGTGAATGTATAGATTGTGTAGATATTTAGTTAACCAGCTTGTAATTGCTTACCTGAAGATTCTCCGTTGTCCCTAGTTTTTGGGTTGTTCCTCCTATAAAGGCGCATCTTGTATTTTTGTTTCTTTTATTAAGCCATATCATGGTTATGGCTTACTTTATTTTCCTTTCTATTTTCTTTTCATTGTTTCACTCAAAATCATGTTACACAGTGTCAGTTGACCTATACCTACATCAAATTACAACAAACGTATTTACATGTATTAGTTACTTTAGTTCAGTTTGTGTGTGTCTACCTCCATGTAATCACCCACTGGAACCCACTGTCCTACCTGATACGACTATATGTATGATACTTGATTATGGCTGATATTGAGCAGTACAGACAGGCAGTGGGTTCCTTTGATGCAAAACTACAGTCAAAATCTGCTGTCCGATTTATGAAATCCATACACAGTTTTAAGTTCTTGTGTCTCTACAGCACCCAAGTATCTGTAATTGCCTCTCTCATCCTTCTCTGCTGTGGCGATATCCATCCGAATCCTGGGCCGAAATATTTCAGAGACCTTAAAATAATACATTTGAACGTACGCAGTTTGAAAGACAAAACTGATTTACTTGACGCAGAATTTCGATCTTATGACGTTATATGTCTTACTGAAACCTGGTTGCATGCAGACATTCGTAGTGTTGATATAGCAATACCTGGATATCACCTACCATTCAGGAAAGATAGGCAAACGCGTGGTGGCGGTGTCGCGATCTATGTCAAAAGCAACTTACACGCCAAGCATATGGACAACCTTGACACCCCCGGGCTCGAGGCGGTGTGGATACAGATAAAGTGTAAACACCGTTGTTACCTAATCGGATCCGTCTATCGAGCAGATAAGAGCGCGGGGTACTGGGATCTTATTGAGGAATCTGTCGGTAACGCCGTCGACCTGAACATGTATACTATCGTTGTCGGTGACTTTAATATAGACGTCCTTCGGGAAAATCGAACTAAAATTAGATAACCTTCAATCGATGTATGACCTTAAACAGATTATATCGGTACCAACTAGAATTACAGCACATTCAAGTACCTTGATAGATCTGATTTTTGTTTCGAATATTAAAGCTGTAAATGACTCGGGTGTCCTTGACCCTATCTGCAGTGACCATTGTCCGATATTTGTGACCATCAAACAACCAATTCCCCTCCTTATAAATTATAAGAGGAAAGTTTATTACTATTCGTTAGTTGATACTGTAAGCATGAACAAGAGTGTCAATGATATTGATGGTGATATTTTATTTTCTTCCAATAATATAGATAAGATTGCAACCGATTTAACATCCACAATAATGAAAATCTGCGATCAACATATACCAAATAAGACTGTCACTATTAGACCTGCAGATCCGCTCTGGATGACGAGTCAAATACGTTCTTTGATTCGGAAACGTAATCGCCTACATAAAATTGCAAAGAAATGTAACCATCAAACGAAGTGGGCTAACTTCAGATCAGCAAGAAATATAGTTACTTCCGCTATTAGAACTGCTAAACAAATTTTCGTTTCTAAAATTGAAGACTCGGTTAATACCTCGATCGGTACGAAAACGTGGTGGCGTCTGACGAAAGGGTTCATAAAATCACGTAACAATGATTATCAATTTGGGACAATTATCTTTAACGATACAATCTATAATGACCCTGAAGAAATCACAAATGTCTTTAACAATTACTTTATCGCTCAGTCGACTATTGCTGATCCAAATCGAGATTTGCACGATACCGAGTTTCCTTGCAGCCCAAAATTAACTAACATCACTTTAACCCGCGATGACGTCAGAGATATTTTAATGTCACTGGACACATCAAAAGCGACCGGTCCGGATGGGATAGGAAATAAAGTACTTAGATATACCGCAAATAGTCTAACATCCATATTATTCAATTTGTCCCTTAGCCTGTCAATTTTTCCCAGTCCATGGAAAGAAGCATCGGTAATACCTATTCACAAGAAAGATAGCGTACATGAATGTTCTAATTGCCGCCCTGTCGCACTCACATCTTGTTTATCGAAAGTCTTTGAGAAATGTGTATTTAAATATGTATTCAATTTCCTAAGAGATAACGACTTAATGACAAATTTACAATCAGTATTCATGCCAGGAGACTCCACAACAAATCAATTAACCTTTTTTGTACAACTTTATAGCCAAAGCTCTTGACGATGGAAAAGAGGTTAGAGCAGTCTTCTGCGACATAAGTAAGTTAGTAAAATATGGCATAGAGGAATTATTTATAAACTGAAAACCTATGGTATCCAAGGCGAACTATTACAATGGTTTGAAAGTTATTTAGAAAATAGAGTACAACGGGTCGCAATTAACGGCTATAAATCTGACAAGAAAACTGTACTAGCTGGAGTACCTCAGGGCTCTGTCCTTGGACCACTTCTTTTTTCTGATATACATCAATGATATTGTATGTGATGTTGACAGTAACATTCGTCTCTTTGCGGATGACACCTCATTATATGTTATCATAGACGATCCATCAGTTGCTGCTACCTGTCTTAACAAAGATCTAGATAGAATTTCACAATGGGCCCGTAAGTGGCAGGTTACATTTCATCCAAATAAAACCGAAACTACTCAGTTCTCACGTAAAACGAAACCGTCTCTAAAACCGAACCTATTCATGGACGGAACAATCATAAAAGAAGTCAAAAGTCATAAACTTTTAGGATTAACACTCCAAAGCGATTGTACGTGGAATGATCACACCAATGATATTGTACGTAAAAATCGCCCTATAATCAGTTGTCTGAGGAGTTTTAAATACCGATTATCACGTAAAACGTTGGATATTATGTATACATCCTATATCTTGCCAATATTTGACTATTGTTCGCATATTTGGGATAACTGTACTTCTGAGCAATCGTGTACATTAGAAAATTTACATCTTGATGCTCTGAGAACTATATGTGGTGCCGTTCGTGGCACAAGTCATAACAAACTTTATAATGAAACCAAATCTCAGTCCATGCAAGATAGAAGGAATTGCCAGAAGTTAACTTTTTTCTATAAGATGTACAACAACCAATTGCCAAAATATCTCTGTGACCTGATTCCAAACTCCGTCTCCGGAACTACAAACTACAGCTTGAGGAATAACTCTGAAATACAAGGAAGTTACAGTCGCACTGCCTCTTATGCTAAATACTTTTTACCTGCCACAATAAATTTATGGAATGCCCTACCAAATTCCAAAGCGTCATGTAATCTCACAGAATTTAAAAACCTAATTACAAAAACTGAAAATAAGATTTACTTTGACCTTAATTATGACACTCGTTTTTGCCAAATCGTTCACTGCCGCCTCAGGCTCGGATGTAGCGACCTAAACGCCGATAAGTATAACAGACATTTAAAAGACAGCCCTTGTTGTTCTTGTGGACATCAGAGTTAAAACGCCCTACACTATTTCCTCACTTGCCGTAACTATACTCGGATAAGACTTAATATGTATTTTTACACTACCGGTTATAACCTGGATACCATTCTTAAGGGAAACAAAGAACTTACTCCCTGTGTAAACCAGAAAATAGTTGAATCCGTCCACGATTATATAACCAAGACACAACGCTTTAAATGTTCTCAGGAAAATAATTAAATTTACTCAACAACCTTCTCATGATTGATTTATATTTCTACAATGGCTTGTGAGACACACACAACTGTAACTCTCTTATGACTACTTAGAGAATAGTTGTATTTCATGTAATCTGTATATATTTATACATTTAAAAATATTATATTTATGCAATGGTCAGTATCGATGACGTCAAATCCTCCATTTTCATGTTGTATTATATGTTGCATGGGGGCGGTGTTAATATAAGCAGTAATGCTTGTTCACCAATCCCAATTCATCTTCATGAATAAAAATATGTTTAAATCATAATGTAAATCTCTCGGAGACCAACACAAGTGCGGGCTGTACTTTTCACCAAGGACTTCAACTGCCGAGTTCTTGTAGATCTCATGGAGGCAAACAACGGACTGAAGTTGTTACCAGGGTAGAAGTAAATGAGACAAGTGCATTTCGAGTTCTGGTAGCAACGAAGAGCATTGTTTCAACAATTTTTGCCCAAAATGTCTTTGTAATCTGGTTATATAAACAAATGGGCAGTTTGTTCAGGACGTGTCCACATATGTACTTGGCGCGACCTCCAGCAGCAGCTGAAGATACATCTCTATCTTTTCTGGAAACAAGAATTGAGAGAGTAAGGTACATGAGCAGTATGTACTCTATAAAGAATTATGTTACGAAGTAAGCAACCTCATGGCCACCAAAATTTCCCCACTTTTTGCTTTTCTGTTTCATTGTGCATATGAACCGGATTAACAGGGATATACATGATCTGATATCATTTAATATCTGTTTCATATTCAGATACATGAATAAAGATTCAGATTGACAAACCATTTACCACCAGACTGTAAAACAAGAGGATTGACTTGAACCTTTCCATTCTGTGCTGGAGAATATTTCTCTCATATGACGACGTACATGCTTGTGTAGGTGTATGTGCGGCTGCTTGTACTAGCCCAGACTGAAGCTGGTTTTATAGTGCAAGCCCACTGAGATACCATGCCGCAGTGAAGCATGAATACCCCACTCAGACACATTATACTGACTCCGAGCCGACCAGTCCTTGTTGTACCCATTAATGCCGAGCGCCAGGCAGGGATCAACAAGTACCATATTTTAACGTCTTTTGGTATGACGCGGTCGGGGATCGAACCCGACACCTTCCGCTCTCCGGGCGACGCTCTAACCACTACACCACGGAGGCGGTCTCATAACGTTTGAGATACAATCGAACATACTCTTTCTACAAACAAAAGTATAGAGTGTCTTGCTCAAAACTTGTTTGACCAAGATAGCAACATTAAAAAATTCAACATATCTTTACAAAAGGTTTGGGATAAACTTGGATGACATTTCCATGATTGACAAAAACTGTGTCAGATTTTCACCAGAACAACTCCTTTATGCAGGTGAACAACTGACTTAATGCATTTGTTTGTCACGGGTACCACCTATGGGGGACGATGGTGTCACTCACCTGCTCCCTTTTTGTCGGTCTCATATTTTACTAACTTCTACGAGATTTCTAATGATTTCGAAAAGTTAATTTCGCTTGTATCGTTTGAAATGCCATGAATGATTTGTTTCCAAAATGAAGTAATAATGAACAATGCATCACCATACCCACGTGCACAATATATGCACGCGTTAATTTTGCAGCTGGTAATAATGTTGATGTGGCAGAGTGGGTATATTGGATTAAAATAGCATGGCAGCTAATGAACATCCGATGAAAGTTAAAACCTGCTCATGACACACCGAATCAAGCATATATATATATATATATATACTCTTCTATACCTACCAAACCACCTTGGTTTTAAGTTGAAGTAGATGAGAGGGAAATAGATGATGAGACCTCCGACAACGAATGCGACAGCATACAGCAGCTCAACCCGGGGATTATCTACAATAGGTGCCACAACCAGGAACAGACACAACAGCATGAAGATAATGGGGATGAGGATTGGAATCTGAAAGAAGAAGTGAGTGAGATGGATTTAACACGTATGTTTATGTTTATGTCATATGTACAACCACTGTTGCCAAAATGTTAAAGTGTTCTTTAAATGATAAGCAATATATGTAGACTATGAAAACGTAGTTGCTATTACAACATCCTTGTCAGACATTATAAGATTGACATGATTTCAAAAGGAGAACTGATACAAGAATAGGTAACATTTCTTCCAGACTCAATAGGCTTTTTCTAAAAAGTGAAGAAATGCTGGACAATGATTTTTGGAACCCTGAGACATTACGTTTCAGGGCACAAAGAGATCATGTTTGTGTAACATTGAATGCATGTTAGATTATGACAGAGGAAATGTCCTTTCGAACAAGTGAACGAGTCAGTTTGGTTTCACACCGTTTTTTAGCAGTATTCCTTCAATATGATAGCGGGCCACACCAGAATGAGCTTTACACATTGTACCCACGTGGGAAACTGCACCACTGATGCAGCTATTATCATAGCTGTCTTCATTACCATATCACTGCTTATAACAAATTGTCATTGTATCTGTAATATCATTGAAGTTGTACTACCACCTATTTTTGTACTACCATTTTAAGTACTTCACAGTGATTTGTAAACTTAGAAAATATTAGAGTTTAATATTTCACATATCTTGGTTGCTTGTCGGTTACCCACCACTGATTTCCGGTCAGCATATTTTTTCAAATTGGGACTCGACACGTAACAATAAGTTAAACCTGTTTGTTATCTTCATGGTGTAGACTGGATGTATAGATGTACTTGGTACAAAGTCTTTTCGAAACCTTCTGCAACCTGAGTGAGCACTATTTCTAGTACAAACTTTTGGAAACTACGCGAAAGTCTATGTCTTCGGATCATTCGTAGCGTAACGTATAAGACAGCATTACTTGTATTCCTACAGTCATCGGACTCAGCTTTGAAAAGAAACAAGAACGAATATTTATGGTTTTAGCTACCTGAGCAATTGAGTGTGTGAGTGAATGAGTGAGAGAGAGACCAATATTCCAGCAATATCACGGCGGGGGACACCAGAATGGGCTTCACACATTGTGCCCGTGTGGGGATTCGAACCCGGATCTCCGGCGTGACGAGCGAACGCTTTAACCACTAGGCTACCCTACCGCCCACCTGAGCAATTGAGGCGAGAGAGTAGAGTTTAATACCTTTATCCGTTTCGGGTCGTCCTTTACTTTGAACCTCAGTACAATACAGCTTAGAGCACACGCACCATAAAAGACCCAGTTTGTGAAGCTGAGGAACGTGATGAGGCTGGTGATGGTTCCTTGTAGCACCATGAAGATAGCGATCAGCACCTGCAGCCGAGTGGGTTAATGAGTTTAGTTTTACGCCGCTTCTAGCAATATTCCAGCTTTTAGCAATATTCCATGGCGGGGGACACCAGAAATGGGCTTCACACATTGTACCCATGTGGGGAATCGAACTTAATCGTGACGAGCGGACGATTTAACCATTAGGCTACCCCCACCTGCATCCGACCAACAACACACTGGACATGCGGTGGGCTGAGATGAGTGTGAAGGGGTTCAAATTTAAAGGTCACATGCAACCAAAAAATCAAACATAATTAAAACACAATTATCACTTATTCATGACATATAATATACATTGCTTGTTATGAAAAAACATATAAACAAAATTATAAGCGTAAAATCGCAAATCAAAAGTGCAATATTGTGTACTTGGGTTTACTTCCCAAGAAACGAAGCAGCCGGGATACCGAACCCAGTCAGAGCGGGTGGGTGTGCACTCAAGTGTAACGGCTGGTTCATTTTCAGATGCCCTCACGGCTCATTGTGTGTGTGTGTGTGTGTGTATAGAGATGTTGGGTTTTGTAAATACATGCTCATTTTTTGTGTATAACATTTTACAATCAACAGACATCATAACATGTCATGTGTTCAAGTATCACACCTGCCTGTCTGTGTAATTTATGGTGTATAGCCTGATTGGTGTTAAGTTCAAATTGCATGTGGTCAGTGATAGCAGCTGTGTATTGAATATTGTCATTAGCAGACAGGCAGGCAGACACACAGGTGTCAATAAAACAAGACATTGAGTTTTGTCTGTGACAACGACATATCTATATCACAGTTAGAGATTCTGTCAACGCTAAATAATGGCATTGCTTTTAAGTATCGAACTGAGAAAGTGACTCGGTAAGAAGAACGTGTGGTGAAATAGACAAATGAAATTATATAAACAGTTTATTTACTGTCATAACATATAAAAAGCTCGCGCCTGTGAGATATCAACAAAACATTAGAAAAATAGCTCACACCAAAGCCTTCACCGAGTATTCACCGGACAACCCACTTCCAAGCTGCGCGAACCTATTTCACTGCGCACGTGCTATGAGCGCAGCCCAGCTGTTGAAACCAGTTTTCCCTCGAAAAGTCGGGGGAAAATTAGTGAAACGTTTGAACTCCGATTTCGCGCGGGTTTTTTCATCGCGTTATTTTTCAACTTTTTAAGTTGAATTTGCATTTTTGACGATTTGTTTCGGTAAGTCCATTCCGAAAGGTATCAGAATCTGCAAAGTTTTGTTTTACGTTGCATGAGACCTTTAACTATCCTCCGCCATATAGCTGGAATATTGCTGAGTGCGGCGTAAAACTAAACTCACTCATTTAACTATCCTATATTTCAGTCACATTGTGACAAGAGCAAACTGTAAAAGCAAGTACTTTAAATGAAAGTAAAAAGTAGTGTCATTATCATAAATACATTTAACATGAACAAACAAAACATACAAAACACTACTCACTACAACTCACATGACAAATAATTGGGGGCATTGGCGTGTACCTCTTCACATTGATAAATGACAGAAACTCCCACCAATTCCCATCACGGGCTGCAGCAAACTGTATTCTTAGAGGCAGAAAGAGTAAAGGTAGACACATGATACAAATATTTAACTTCATGGACAGTGGATAGGTTACCTTATCAACTGACAACTCGACTATGTAGCAAGAATGTTAAACATGCAATCATACCAGTATCTCTGTGAAAAGAAAGCAGCAAATTCATGTAGGGTGAATATTCTTCAGAAAGGACACAATAATAACCCCTGCCTTATATATTATCTTACCTCACACATAAATGTCGCTTTCTGATTGGCTGAGCGCTCTTCTATTATTTTCAATGTACCCCGCTTACAAGCGAGTAAAATTTCTATGTACCCCGCTGTCAATGGCAACTCATTTGGTACTTGGTGGTAGTAATTCTTTATCTCGAATAACATTGAATCACGTATGATGTACGGAAATTACCGATGTTTTGCGAATGCAAATCGATGGAAGGGAGATAACTCTAAATCTGTTTTTCTTGTCAGCAAAATCTAGCGATGGCTACAGAAAGATTTGTACCGGTGCTTCAAACAATTCAAAATTAACATTAAGGTGTTCGGTAAGATAAATACGTTGTTCACTGGTCCCCCGGGGCCCATGGGTTGATGTACCCTCGATGTTTGTTTATGTTCCGAAGGGCTCAGGGAACATAAACAAACATCGAGGGTACATCAACCTATGCCCCCCTCGTGACCAGTGAACAACTTATAATGTAGCTCTGCCAGAGTACCGAAAGCATATTGCTTGAACAGAACAGAGAGCGTCAACTTGATTTGTGTAAGCTATGGCGACCTTTCGACTAAAAAAACATGCTTTTGTATGTTATACGGCAGTAAACTGGTGTCCAAATCACCCTGCCCCAAAATCGGAGTTCCTCCTTTTTAATGATCTATATGAAAATATGTGCATTTTGAATATGGATCTCTCTGGAGTTGAGGTTATATATTTTGATGACGATTTCAAAGATTAATAATAATAATAATAATAATAATGACATATTCTCCGAAAAGTTCTTGGTGGGTTCGACTAGGCAGCGTTTCCTGGGAGAAGTCCCATTCGCTGTCTGGGCTGCGTGTAGAGGGGGCGAGGGCCCTGAGCTGATGATGAGCCTTACCAGCCTGACTGTGCCAGGATAACCCGAACCCTCTCTGCTGCATATGATCTTTAATCTGTAAAACATAATAATAATAAGGGCCTGATGATGTACGCCTCTCCGTGGTGGGCCTAGATAGGGGAATTTTATTCCCTGAACTAAACGTACATCACCCAGTTAGGGCTGACCCCCCGAAGCTGGTTTTACACTGGGTTACCGAAAGCCAAGGAGAATATCATCATTCAACCTGCGCAGCCCAGTCAGCCTTCCTCCGGTAGTCAAACCAACCTTACTGGAGATGGGACTTGCCCCAGGAGAAGGCACAGCACCCGATCAAGAATATCTTGGTCAAAACGATCTGAAAACCACACTACTAGAGTGTGCAAGAGCGACAGGATGGCCTGCAAATCCACGAATAAACGGCAAGTCGCTTAAGCTGCATTGGGACAATGCCATGCCCATGTATGCTTTCCTGACGGAGCAAAATCTCCGAGATCAATTCCGGCGGCTTAAAAATCTCATGCCCCGTGAGCCAGTTCAGCCCATAACTAGTGCCCGTCAGGAACCTTTGCATGAGCAGAATGCTCAAGTGGCAGCAGACCCAAAACTTCTGATGGACGTCCGTGTTAACCTCTCTCCTCTTCCTGATGGAAACTCTTCCGGCACAGAGCCAGTTGGCCCCGAAATTTCGGATCCTCACTCTTCTTCTTCCTCAGTTGCAGATCTTTCTGAAAATCCTGTGTATATTTTGTTTCATTCTATTTATGATGAAATATCTGATTTACCTTTAGAAAAACGGAGGCCAATTAAACAAATAACAGAATCTTTTCCCAAAAAATGAAATTAATTTATTAAATGACATTATTGATATGAAACTTTCTGTGGACTGTTCATTACATGAAGTTAATTGTTGTGTCTATTCTGCCGCTCGAACCTTGGAGGAACTTCACACAGTTTCCAAAGAAAACACAGCCAATACTAAGAACAATACACCAAAGAAAAAACGGTTTCAAGTGAAACTAACAGAAACTAGAAAATACGTTTCCTGGATAGAGCTTTGCCTGAAGTTAAGATCATCAGGGAATCCTATGTCTAAACGACAAAAGGCAATTTGGAGAAAATTAAAACTGAAATACAAAACAATGAAAGAAAAGATACTTCTCCAAATTGTCGATTCCCTGAAGGCAAAAATAAAGGTTTGGACTGAAAGAAAGAAAAAATGGGAAAAGAAAAATAAATTTATCAAACAAAATAAACTTTTTAGAAACAATGAAAAGCACTTCTACAGGCAACTGAAAACAAAGGGTGATGGTGAACATGACAAACGGCCTCCCATGGATGCCAATGAAAGGTTCTGGAAACAGTTGTGGTCTGTACCTGGCAACAGTAACCTTGAGGCACCATGGGTCCGTGATTATGGCCATGCAATGCATGAGAAGGTAACTAGGTCGTTTGTCTGTTACATCTCACCAGATTGCCTGAAAAGTGTTATAAAAAAGTCCAAATCTAATACAGCTCCAGGGCCTGATGGCATTCGAAACCGGTATTGGAAACTGTTCCCCTGTGACCAAACACCATTACTACACTGTTTCAATACTCTCGTGGACACAGGTGATGTTCCTCCATGGTTCTGCAAAGGTCGCACAATACTTTTCCCCAAGAAAGGAGACTTGACTGATCCCAAAAACTTCCGCCCTATCACATGTTTGAATACACAATACAAAATATTCACAGGGTGTTTGACAAACCTCGTGTCATCTTACTGCTCTTCCAATGATATAATTTACAGAGAGCAGAAGGGAGCAAGAAAGGGATGTTGGGGGTGCAAGGATCAACTTCTTGTACAGAAAATGATTTTGGAAGGGGCTAAAACATATCACCGCAACCTCTCCATGTGCTGGATTGACTACAAAAAAGCATACGACTCTGTCCCTCACGTATGGATTCTGAAGTCTCTTCATTGTATTGACCTCCCTGAGCGACTACTTGATTTACTCAAGTCTTTAATGAGTTGCTGGTCGACTCAACTTGAGATGTACTCGCAAGGGCAGGTGCAGACTTCGGAATCTATTCCAATCAGAAGGGGAATATTTCAGGGGGATTCCTTTAGTCCTTTGTTTTTTTGTCTGTCTTTAAATCCTTTGAGCTTTCTGCTCAATAAAGAGGAGGGTTACCATCCTGGACCTCCTCAGCACAGATCCCTAACACCTCTTACTCATCTCCTTTACATGGATGACATCGAGCTCCTTGCCAAAGGAGATTCCAATCTGAAAGAGCAGGTTCTCTTTGTCGAGTCCTTTTCTAATGATATTGGCATGACATTTGGACTCGACAAATGTAATACTCTTCATTTGAAACGTGGCAAGGTAACTAATGACGGATCGGTCAAGTTACAAGGGGGAGGCGTTTTTGATCATCTTGTGGAAGATCAGGCCTACACCTATCTTGGAATGCAAGTTCGAGACAAGCTCCAGAATGCCCAGATTCAAGACAAACTTCGGGCCGAGTACAAATCTCGTTTAAAGAAAATCTGGAGCTCAGAGCTAACTGCTCGAAACAAGGTCAAAGCCACCAATACTTTTGCTGTGCCAGTCTTTTCTTATTCCTTTGGAGTAGTTGATTGGACAAAACAAGACATCCAGAGTCTTGACCGTCTGACCAGAAGGATCATGTCTGATAACAGAGCCCAAAACCCTCGTTCCTCTCTTCACCGTTTATACATGCCAATCAATTCTGGAGGTCGGGGTTTGATTAATGTGGAGGCTCTTCATGACAGAATTTTATTGTGTACTTTTGCACATATTTATTTATCGGATGATCCTCTAGTGATGTATGTGAAGACTCATGATGAAAGCAAGGAGTTCCACAGCTATTTTAAGCGTGCCAAGGTTGTTGGACAGAATCTGAGATTTGAGGTTGATTTTGTTGATGGTGATGTACTGCTGGACGGTACAGTGATGGGAGTAAACCAGGTGAAGTCCTTCACCAAGTCTGCCCAGAGTCGGTCTTTTGTGGAGAAGCTTTCTGAGAAGCCATTGCATCGTGTGTACATGCAGTGTGTTGAACAGAATAGCAATCCCACCGACTCCTTCGCCTGGATGAAGTCGGCTGGTCTTAAATGTGAAACGGAGGGCTTCCTTTTTGCTGTTCAGGACCAGTCACTTCCCACTCACATTCGCCTAAATGTGATTCTTAAAGAAAATATCAATATGAAATGTCGACTTTGCAATGAATTCACAGAGACTGTCCAACACCTTGTCAGTGGATGCCCTTCCTTGGCACAAACAGCATATCTTAAACGACATGATGGCATGGCTCGCTGCTTTTACTACCGTCTCCGACATGCCTGTGACTTTGACTCCGAGGTCCATCCATGGTACGACCCTGAACATGTCCAGGGCGTCATGGAAAATGATGCTTTCAAACTTCTGTGGAATAGGCCCATATACAGCCTGAGGAGAATTCCAGCCAACAAACCTGATCTTGTCCTTTTTGATAAAGCCAATGAATTTATATATATCATTGAATTTTCTGTCCCTTTTGACACCAATGTGATTGGCAAGATTCAGGAAAAGAATACTAAGTATGCGGACCTCGCCTTTGAAATGTCTCGCTTGCATCCCAAGTACACTGTCGTCAGGCTCCCCATTGTTCTCGGTGCTCTAGGTTTGGTACCTCCTGATCTCATTGTGCCTTCATTGTTAGCGCTATGAGCATACCTAGAGTGATAACAATAAAGGCACAGCACATTATTACCCCGGATAACCCAATCTGCCTGTTAGGCGCTAGAAGGTTATAGTCATATTACTTTTTCCACCGGGTACCCATTTTCCTGTTGGGTGAACAGAGACAATTTTGAACAAACTCTCTTGCCTAAGGTGGGACCATATGTGTCACATGTGCTTCGTTGTGGGGCAGGACTCAAGTCCTAGAAACTCTCAAGAATCAAGCTGCCAAACACGGTCATCCATCCAAGGACTGTCCAAGCACGACGTTGCTTAACTTCAACTGATTCGTGACCTGAGCTTTGAGCAAAGGGAATCTTGTTTTACATTTTGCACATCTTTTCAGCCAAAAGGGTCAGTATCAGCCCTGATCATGTTCAATTCGTATCATACAAAATAAGATTCTTGCATCAACGTATCGAAAGGTTACTCGTATCTCGACAAATAACTTTGTGGTGCATAAATGTTGCTGACTCATAAGCATTACAAACCTTTCTGACATTTCCCATAATGAACTACTCACCGAGAATTTGTTCCCATTCCACCATTAGCGCTGCCGAACACAGACATCATGACAGAGATCGGGATAATCCAGGAGGCTGAACCCAGGACCCTGTCTCCCCAGGTCTGGTTGGAAACAGTGAGTTGGGTTTAACGTTTGCCAGTTTGATGCGCGGGGAATGGCCAGTGGGATGCTCATCCTGGACCAATACCACTTTGATGAAACCCTTGTGTAGGGTGCTGGCTAAGCTTAAGTGAGTATGTTGTTCTTACGCAAGTCTCAACATTGTAACTGCTATGCCACAGAGATCAGTTCAGTGGTAAAGCCAGAAATGTGCAATCAATGAGAGCAAGTATGACAATAAAATCTTACGTTCCTGGCGCACCGAAGGTTTATGATCAACATGTATGACAATGTGTTAACGTTATCAAGGAGAATTGGCATTCGAATAAAACATCTTAGGTTCCTGGCGCACCGAAGGCACGCAGCTGGTGGACAAGAAGACTACTGGCCACTTGTATGCACAGTGTGCATGCTAACAAAACACATGGACATTCATTCATTGGTTTAATCATTAGCTAACATCAAAACCTGTCAGAAAATCAACTCCAGATTATGATCAATACCAGTATTGATGGATCCCATCTTTCAATAAATGTACCTGTGCCACGGCCGATGACTGATACAGCTCCTGACGGGTCATGACAGCAAGATAGGAGATGTTGGTGAGGATGTAGACAACAGCGACTATCGACACACCGATGATACTCGACAATGGGCCGTTTCTGGATGTTAAGGACGCCAGTTATTTAAAGAAAATGATATCAACTTCAGTGTTCCACTACAGAGTTTCTCTTGCAGAATGATGTACCGTTAGGTAGGAGTGTTATCTTAAAGTTTGTACAGTTTTAGATATTTCCAAACAAGCGAAATGCTCATCCATATTTACGACAAGGTGTCTCTTCGGACCATGAAGTTTTATCCCTGGATCTAAGTCAAGACTAAAACGGTAGGTTCCATAATGATTAATAGTCCAATATTACATATTTTGTGTAAAAAGTGAAAGTGAGTTTTTGATTTGAAAAGTATATTCATGAAATAACAAGTGCACCACACGATTGTAAATATATCTTAATCACATAATGTCATTCTCAAAATGATCGAAGCTTAATGTTGATTGGTTGGTTGTTGTTTAACACCGCACTCAGCAATATTCAAGCTTTATGGCGGCGGTCGAAGCTTATATTTTCAATCACTAAATCAACATTATATATCGCGAAGGAATACAATGCCTGAGTGAACTGCCCCATGTTTGTTTACATTCGCACTTACCTAATGGAAACATCCATCTCAGTATTCATGGGGACCATTGAGCAATAGCCTTATTAAGAAAGTAGGCATCATGCTGAACCTTATCAAGGAAGTTCTTGTTTGGTGTTCTCATTTGCATATTTTTCACATTGTGAAAAGAAGCTTATCGGATTAGTTCGATAGCACAATGGTAAACATGACTACCTTTGTGGATTCTTCACCTCCTCTATCAAGAAGTTCACATTGTTCCTTGAAAGACAAAGATTGCATATGATTTCTTCCATATCAACATATGTGCGTATGCTGACTAAACACACATGAATATATAATTATTGTTGAAAAAGTCTCATGTTTCGTGTCTGAACCATATCTCATAAAAGTTTGAGTACATGTCAAAGAGGTTATGTACTGGTAACTTTGGCTGTCCGAAAGGTATACTCTTTTTTGCTGTTGATTTATTATGTTTTGAAAATGCTATGTATGTTCAAATAAAAGCATGGTTCATATTCCTTTTCGAAATATTACTCTTCAACATGAATTGTTTGCCAAGCAGTTGTTTGAACTGACGGATTACAAAATCCATAATTTATAGATGACAAATTAATTCATGTACTATAAGGAAGACTTTTTTTATCAAGATAGACTGAACAATCTCAGCATTGCACAGGATAATACTTGGTGGTGAATGCTTACCACTAACAATAACTGCCCTACATGAAAGAGATTAACATGAGCAGGATGACATCAACAGGGGACGAGGAGCGTTGAAACTCTTTATGATTGGTAACTTCAGGCTATAATGATTTCGGTATAGACCTTAGTAACGTTGTCCAGTCAGGATACGGTTGTTAATTATACCCCACTGCCTGGTTGTTTGTTGGTTTCATACCAAGTGTTTTACGGTCTGAGTTCCAGTGAACTACTTTATTAACTTGGGAATGAATACGTAATAACAGAAAATACATGACGTGGAATTGTACAGGATTAAGTATACATGGGTAGGGTGAAGGATCGCTTGCTTACCGCAATAGGATCTATACCGAAACGTCGCTTTAACACTAAAATTGTTATCCATAACTTGTGTTTATTTGGTATTCCTCAAGTCTCATTATATCCCTAATCATGCATCTAACATCAGTTCAGAAGCAGTTAAAATATAACTTGTAAACACAAACACAGCTTAAGTTTTACGCCGTATATCTGAAACGATCTTCTAAGGAGAAGTGTCTATTTCTCATTCATGTGTATGTCATTTACAGACATATTCTTAAAATATCTTGTGGTGGTTTAGACATCTTCTACGAGACAAAAGGAAATTATATGGTGGAGTATTATCATGGACAAATGCATCTGGGAGGGTAAATAACAACAGAGATAAGATTTATTAATTTAAATATATGACCTATACATCGACATATTATGTTGTGATATTGTGAACATAATCAAAAGCTCGGGTCAGGATGACTTGTTGTATCAACCCACACGAGTTTCAGTTAAGTGACAAACCAACACGCCACCACATACCCAGCACCGTTTCTGACATAGTCTACCATCACTTACCATCCATTGTATGCAAACATGACCGAGTAGTACGCCAGAGTGATATCCGAAACCACAGTCACAGTACCCTCAAACCCAGTTGGTAACTCAGATAACGTGCCTGAAAGAGAAGGACTTATATAAATGTTCTATATCCTTTGTTTCATGAGCATTTAACTATGTTGCAACCATTGACTCATCATTACTTCATGGGTTTTTTGTCCACACTGCGCTTTTTTCAAAACGACTATTTTGACATTTACATTATTTTCTCGAAATTTTGAGGTTTTTGTCGTTACTTCTATTATTTTAAAATTATGTCAACTTCATTTTAAAAACTAAATCATTCGAGCAAATAATCAATATTAAGAGACAATAATCAAAGTATCGAGTAAATAATTTGAAAATTCGAAATAGAACGAATAATGGATAATCGCTAGTGAGCTCTGAGAAGTATTCATTCTAAACAGTTTCAGTATCATCTGAATCTGGACTGAGACCTGCGTCTCATCGCCCCTTCTTCCTACATCCCGCGATATGTATGTAATACTGTTCAGAGTGATACCTCATTCGTTCTTCTGCTGCAAGCATCCACTGACAATATCTACCCTCTTTCTTACCTTGTCCAATTTTGACCAGTCCTCCTATGATGATCACAACGAGAGCTCCCAATTTGGCAGCAGTGAAGAAGACCTGTATCCGTGCCGACAGCTTCACGCTGTAGGAGGTGGTGATGGCCAGAAGAACTAGACAAGAGATGTAAGGTCACGTACAGGTGCAAGCTGGAATCTGACCTCGAACTCTCATAATATCATCTTCGATAACCTCCAGGGTATACCATACGATCACTCTCCACTATACCCCCGATGCATCCACGGCTTGGCCCCATAATTTTATTACCTCCCTTTGCTGGCTCCGCACTCACACAGTAGCAAATCAGCGAAGCCGCCGTTACATCCGAGCTTGCCAGTGTCAACAAAGATAGAGGTCGCAGTCGCGAAGGTTTGTTCGCAGTGCCACTCAGATTTTTGGGAAATAATACTGACAAATTGACAGATCTGAAACTTTAAAAAAATATGTAAAAGAACTCCTTCTACCTCTTTCAGAGTACCTCTGCATCAGTTGTGTTGCCATGTTTAAACGGTTAGATAATTTAAGACGCGAAAGTGAGTTGTGATTGGTTCGTTCAACTTCCCAGCGTAGACACCTGATTGGATAAAAAGCCAGCCAAGGGAGGTAATATAATTATGGGGCCAAGCCGTGGATGCATCCAGGGTATAGTGGAGAGTAATCGTAACGTATACCCAGGAGATTATCGAGGATGTCATAATACATACATGCATATTTTATATCTTTACCGTGAAAGGGGTATTTTGTTGTTCAGTTCCTTTCTAGAACGTTGTCCATCGTGTTTGGCAACTCATTCAAGATGGTCACGAGAACCATCGCTATCCCTAGGGATCTAGTTTTACCAAGCAGGCAATTGCCCGTGAGGCATTTATTTGGACAATGCCTTTCAGATTCTGAGCAGTGCAAGGAAAACTCTTTCAAGATGGTAACCAGCATCGACTGTCTGTGGTCGTGCTTGCAATATATGTGTTAACTCCCATTGAGCTTCTCACGAAGTTGAGTCTTGGAATGTTTTGGGGTGGGATATATAGATGCAGAAACCGATTTGCTGCCTATACAATAACTGTGAGTCCGAGAGTTGCCAAACAAACTGACCTACCAAGTACGCAAATCGCTATGAGTTTCTTTGGCGTTTCAGGAGATCCACACAGCTCCAGTAAAGTGGAGAAATACTCGGCGAACGTCAGACATTGCACAGCTCTGGACGCTGGGTTCCTGGCGATCTCGATGGCCCATACAAACATAAAGGCAGGGATAGGGCCGAATGTTTTCATCAACACTGCATACTCCCCTCCCGATGTCCGTGTGACCGATGTTAACTCAGTGAAGGTAAGTGAACCTGAAAGGTCACAAAATGGGTGAATAAAAACATTTTGTTTCCTTGGAGGTACATAAGATTTTCTATGGCTTAACTGCTTAAGAGGCCGGCTATAGCGTCTAGTGGATAACCCGCACTCCTGTTGAGCGGAAGGTTGGTGTTCGATCCCTAGTCGCGTCATACCATAAATACGTTAAAAGATTTTGTGACCCTGGAACTTTGTACTTGATATTTGCCATGAAACAATCAGTGTTAAAAATCAGAAGCATTGAGTTAGTTTACACATTCGAATAATTTCTACATCCACGCCTGTACTTGTGGAGTTATCAAGCAAACCGAACGTCGTACTTACCGAGGATAGCGAGGACAGCTCCGCTAGACCAAACCACCATACAGAGACCCACTGAGCCCGTGTTCCTCAAGACTCCTTGGGGAGTGATGAAGATACCAGAACCTACAAAATATTTAAGCTTTGTACGTTCAGAATAACCTAATCATGGACAGGTTCACACCGCTACCCCCTTCCCAAACAAAAATACACGCTTGCACGCACACAGACGCACGAGTACCAGCACCACCACCAGCTTCTATTGACCACACTTTGTTATATAGATAATTCACAATCCTCTTCCCTTCTGTTTTCTACCTCCTTACCTTTTAATGATCACGCCACGATTGACGGTGAGTCATATATATTTTCGTGCCTTCCCTTTCCGCACACTGACAACTCTCACGCCCCACTCTGTGAGTCACCTCATCGCAGTTCCTACTGCATCTCATTTCTTTCTTCTTCAATCCAACCCCTTGGTTTCCTTTCCTACTCCATATCATGCCATCCTATTTCCTATTCCATCCTTTCCCATTTCGTTCCGTTCCCTTCCCATTTTCTATCGCATCCCATCCAATCCCTTCCCTGCCATCCGTTCACAATCATTTCCAAATCCCTTCCTATCCCGTCTGGACCCTCTACTCTCCCTTCCCGTCTACTGACTGGCAATCCCTTCCTATCCCGTCTCCCTCTCCCTTCCCTTCACGTCTACTGATAATGGCAATCCCGTTCCTATCCTCCCTCCCCGTCTGGATAATGGCCCCTCCCTATCCCGTCTGGACCCTCCTCTCCCCGTCTACTGATAATGGCAATCCTTCCTATCCCGTCTGGACCCTCTCCTCTCCCTTCCCGTCTACTGATAATGGCAATCCCTTCCTATCCCGTCTGGACCCTCTCCTCTCCCTTCCCGTCTACTGATAATGGCAATCCCTTCCTATCCCGTCTGGACCCTCTCCTCTCCCTTCCCGTCTACTGATAATGGCAATCCCTTCCTATCCCGTCTGGACCCTCTCCTCTCCCTTCCCGTCTACTGATAATGGCAATCCCTTCCTATCCCGTCTGGACCCTCCTCTCCCTTCCCGTCTACTGATAATGGCAATCCCTTCCTATCCCGTCTGGACCCTCTCCTTCTCTACTCCCTTCCCGTCTACTGATAATGGCAATCCCTTCCTATCCCGTCTGGACCCTCTCCTCTCCCTTCCCGTCTACTGATAATGGCAATCCTTCCTATCCCGTCTGGACCCTCCTCTCCTTCCCGTCTACTGATAATGGCAATCCCTTCCTATCCCGTCTGGACCCTCTCCTCTCCCTTCCCGTCTACTGATAATGGCAATCCCTTCCTATCCCGTCTGGACCCTCTCCTCTCCCTTCCCGTCTACTGATAATGGCAATCCCTTCCTATCCCGTCTGGACCCTCTCCTCTCCCTTCCCGTCTACTGATAATGGCAATCCCTTCCTATCCCGTCTGGACCCTATCCCGTCCCTCTCCTCCCTTCCCGTCTACTGATAATGGCAATCCCTTCCTATCCCGTCTGGACCCTTTTCTCTCCCTTCCCGTCTACTGATAATGGCAATCCCTTCCTATGCCGTCTGGACCCTCTCCTCTCCCTTCCCGTCTACTGATAATGGCAATCCCTTCCTTTCAAATGACAGTCAATCAGTACTGGTAATTCATCCCTTGAAATCAACTGCGGCATTTCCATTTATGGTACCTGTTCCACCGAACTTACCAATAATGGATCCAACTACAAAGGCTATCCCACTAAACAGACCAATCTCTTTCTTCAGGGTTAACTTCGATGTGTCAGTTTCAACTTGAGGTTCAGTCTCCTCTGGAGTGTCCTCGGGTGTCCGTTGTCGCAGTTCCATGTCTGATAGAGACACCTTGTCTGGTGTCGTTGAATCTGGAAGTAGTGTTTTTCACTAATGTATTTGCTATGTTTGTGCTTAAGAGTGGGTGTAGATGTATTTACATTAACACAATCTGAGTGAGTGAGTGAGTTTGGTTTTACGCCGCTTTTAGCAATATTCCAGCAATATCACGGCTGGGGACACTAGAAATGGGCTTAACACATTGTACCCATGTGGGAAATCGAACCCGGGTCTTCAGCGTGACGAGCGAACGCCTTAACCACTAGGCTACCCCACCGCCCCTAACACAATCTGAAGAGGTAGGGTGTTAGACTGCTTGGTTGTCGTCCTTAAACACTGCCATATAATGGATCCTCACATTCCAGTGTACCTGTGAAGATCCAGGCTAGAATATTGATCTTCAGTAACCCATGCTTGTCGTAAGAGGCGACTAATGGGATCGGGTGGTCAGGCTCGCTGACTTGGTTGACACATGTCATCGGTTCCCAATTGTTCAGAGCGATGCTCAAGCTATTGATCACTGGATTGTCTGGTCCAGACTCGATTATTTACAGACCGACGCCATATAGCTGGAATATTGCTGAGTGCGGCGTAAAACTAAACTCACTCACTCAAATTCCAGTGATTGACACCATCAGTACAAATGAGTTATCTCCCACTCCATAAAGGTTCCCAAGTGGACGCAACGTGAATGACATCAGCTCCATAGTGGCGGTTCAGTGTCTAAAGACGTTTTTATTGTTGTGTTTGGGGGATATTCTATGCAAAGTTTGAATTAAGATGCTTCCTTAGTTTGAGAAAATCTCCATATCCAATTAGACTTGTAACAAAAGTACAATGATCAGCCAAACTAAAATATGTTCATTCAATTCATTCAACATAAAACTATCAATAGTTATTTTTATAAATTTCCACGGCAAGTCTGAACCAGACAAACCTGTGATTGGTATTGTCTGGACACGAAGGGACGCCATCGGCCAGGTCACCGGGTCGGACCACCTTGAGTGAATGGGGACGTATCTTAGGCTGGAATCGCTCCAACATCACCTCATATCACTCACGTCAAGATCAGCGCTACAGTTTGTCACCACTGACTCTCAACGTTAAAATCGCCTCGTCACAGTGGACGATATAAGGGGTGAAGGACACCATGGACAGGGAACATGATAACTCCGGTAGAAAGGGACCGGAAAAATTAAACTTAATACGAAATCAGTTGTTTAAATGAAAGCCGTCATATAGCTTGAATATTGCGGCGTTAAGCAACAAAACCAAAAATCTGTCTATTTTGACAGACTATGTTTACAAAGACAAGGGAACAAGGGACACGCCCAAACAGAAAAAAACAGCGTTTTCAAAATGACAATAGATATAATTGGTATTTTCGGCATAATTCTTGACGACAAAATTGTTAGTAACCATAAATAAAATAGCATTTCATACATGTAACGCAAGTTTGTTACTAAAATATTACTGTATTTGGAATGGATACGTGACTTTAGTTCATAAAGTGTTAACTGTGAAAATTGTTGGTAATCATAAAAACAACAACATTTCATCAAGATGATGTCCGTTTGAAACTAATAGCCGTTTCTATGTTCTGAAAGGATACGTGGTTTTAGCCCATATACTGTAACCTGAGCGGGTTGTCTTGCAAACAAACACATCTCACTGGACGGCGGTTGTAAATCCCGGGGTGCAATATGTGTTCTCACGAGAAAACTATTTATTAACACTAAATAAATTATTTGAGACACGACTCGGGATGTAGAACTTGTCGATGTAAAATATAATAACAGCATGGTTTCAATATATTCAGTGGCTCATAACTTTTTATTATAGTATATTTATAGCGCACATATCCACGGAACTGGTGCATGCTCAAGGCGCTGGTATGTTTCCGCTGGTATAACTGCCAACGGCTTGCACAAAACACAGCCCTTCTAAAGCCATTGAATACCCGGTCTCAATACTCCGACAACAAAGACAGGATTACACACAGTCGAAAAACTGTGAATGAAACAGAGAACATCAGTGATGACACCCGGTGCTCAAACAGGTGTCTTGAATTGATAGTTGTTGCTTTGTGGTTGGTTAGCCTTTGAAATCATTTATAGATGTGAAATATTTTTTCATCTGTAACGTGAAAGGCAAACCATCAGGCGAGTCGTAATTTATTCTAGGAACATGTATTCATGATCAGGCCCTGGGACTTTGCTGAATGTATGTTTAACTGTACCCAACTGCTTGTACGGTTATTCATTCCATGAATATAACATGCTTGTCGCAAAATGTACTTTAAATAGAGAACATGTATTCAGGCCATGGAACTCTTCTGATTGTATGTACCTGAATGCATGTACGTTCACTCATAACATGAATACAAAATAACAAAACAAACATAAAACATTGTTTGCTTGACCTGGACTCGGTTACTTACATGACATGCAAAACGTATCCAGCCTAGACAATCCCTTACTGTTCTACTTTAAGAAGCTTTGCTGGGTTCGTCGTTTCGTGACATACGTCTTATTCGGCGGTGATACCGGCGTTTCACAAATCAAACGAACCAAGCTTTAAAACATGGTATGCAAAATATCAAGTTAAGGTTTTGTGGTGTAGTCATAGACGTCTTATTCGGCGGTGACATTGGCGTTACAAAAATCAAACGAACCAAGTTTAAAAACTGGTTACACACCGTCATGGTATGCAAAATATTAGGTTGAAGGTTTATGATGTAGTGATAGACGGGTTATTCAATGTAACAATGTCAGTATAATACCCATGACGTCACGTGGCCACGAAAGAAACACGTGGTTCCGGCCAAGGTCACTGAGTATTAAGCTTGTTATGTGGACAGATGTACCAATATGTACAAAGGTCTTTTGTAAATGGGATATTCATAAGGATCTGTAAATACTGATGTCTTTGCTCGAAAGACTGAGATCCGCGTCTACCTATATGTCAAGCTGAACATGAAAGCGACAGAGTTTGTGTTTCATTTGCGCGTCCGTGTGTGTCCGTTCGCGCGTGCGTGTCTGTGCATGCGTGTGTGTGACTGCTTTGTTCAAGTCTGGACTCCTGTATTGTGATGGCCCTATCAGATAGCATATTGCTGACGACGAGCCGGCGGGACGTTTTTGTATATCTTGCGCGCCGGGCAGGGTAACAACAAATACCACATTTAAACGTCTTATACATGTATATACACCTGGAAAACGTTCAGTGGTGTGTACACACAGTACGTTGGTAAAACCGCATGTCTCTCCGTATGGGGAGTGAGTGAGTTAAGATTTTACGTCACATTTGCCATATTTCAGCTTAAACAAGTTATATATTCCTAATACATAAAGTTAAACCATAAAAACCTGCCAACTAAGGACAGTAAAAACAACTAGAATATCACAGATAGAAATCTAAAACCTTTTTACTATAGAATAATATACAATATTAAAACAGGCTATAGACTGCCAACAACTGAAGGTAGATCACCATACTAGGGACCATGGGGACTTACAGTACATTTGCTTCCTGCATGGACCCTAGCTGGATTTACACCATCCGATCAGCTACCAGCATTTTAGACAATCTAGCCATAAACTAATATAACAAATATACTGCGGTTAGACATAGTAGTAGGTTCAAATTTACTTTAATGCTTTTGGGACTTACGTATCCTCTCAGGATGACAATAATGTCACAATACTTTAGCTCCAATGAGGATACATCCACTAACAATCTCAGCTGTTAATTTTTACTACCAATCATAAAAAATTATCTACTTACACAACGTTAATCAAACATTATCTACCATCTCTATTTCTTTTTAAAATACAATGATTAAATGATAATTAACACTAAAAAGATCTTTCAGTGTTTTGACATTGAAATACTTTTCCATTGTGTTGGTAAATTCAGCACCGTCAAGGAGGACATGCTTGACCGTGATTCTTTCATCACAGGGGATACAAAGGGGGATCTTCACCTTACAGTAGATATTCATGTGTATATCTTCAATGGCCAATATGACATCCTAATGTAATGTTTTGACTGGATTGTCTGGTCAAGACACGATTATTTACAGACCTGCCATATACCTGGAATGTTGTTTGAGTGCAACGTTAAACACAAGAAAACAACACTTGAACACAGTTCTGTTAGAGGTCTTCGACAGTCAAGCGGTTTATACACATACGATAACAGTTATCGTAATTTATGGCGGTCAAACATATTTACATTTTTAGTTGTTAATGTCATAGCGTAACGTCATTTCTCTGACGTTTATAGACGTCGGTTGTGTATCAGCTTCTAGAAGGTTGCAGACAGACGTTGACAGTTGTCGAATGGCAATCTCGTTGTTTCAGACATGACGTTGAATGTAGACACACGGTTTCACGGAGCTCAAATTACCATAATATGGTTTGGTATGTTATCGTATGAGTACAGCCATACTTACCCTTGTCCGTATCCATAGTAACAGCTACACACACACGTATGTATCCCTCTGTGTAGTCCTGTTGTACCTGTGTTTAGACTGGAGACCGGGACGCTTGCTCGCAGCTCGTCCATGTACATGTTTGCCTTGTTGTAAAATGAGGCCAAACCATGTTTACAATGTAGGTATTCATAAGTGAAGAGCTGGATCTTCTTACTTCACATATCACGAACAAGATGACGTAAATAGGATACGAAGTACCAAATAGATGAAGTACATAGCTAGGTTGCGAACGTGGGTGTAATTGAGTTGTTACTGTAGTAGATATGACATAAATCGTATCATTGATACAGCGTTTCCTACAGCTGTAGCACTATTGATACTGGTTTCCTACAGCTGCAGCACTATTGATACAGGTTTCGTACAGCTGCAGCACTATTGATACAGGTTTTCCTACAGCTGCAGCACTATTGATACAGGTTTTCCTACAGCTGCAGCATTATTAATACAGGTTTCCTACAGCTGCAGCACTATTGATACAGGTTTCCTACAGCTGCAGCACAATTAATACAGGTTTCCTACAGCTGCAACACTATTGATACAAGGTCTCCTACAGCTGCAGCACTGTTGATACAAGGTCTCCTACAGCTGAGCAACCATTAATACAAGGTTTCCTACAGCTGCAGCACCATCATACAAGGTTTCTTACAGCTGCAGTACCATTCATACAAGGTTTCCTACAGCTGCGGCACTATTGATGCAAGGTTTCCTACAGCTGCAGCACCATTGAGACAAGGTTTCCTACAGCTGAGCAACCATTGATACAATGTTTCCTACAGCTGCAGCACCATTGATACAAGGTTTCCTACAGCTGCAGCACTATTTATACAAGGTTTCCTACAGCTACATCACCATTGATACAAGGTTTCATACAACTGAGCAACCATTGATACAAGGTTTCCTAAAGCTGCAGCACTGTTGATAAAGGTTTCCTACAGCTGCAGCACTATTGATACAAGGTTTCCTACAGCTGCAGCACCATTGATGCAAGGTTTCCTACAGCTGCAGCACCATTGATACAAGGTTTCCTACAGCTGCAGCACCATTAATACAAGGTTTACTACAGCTGAGCAACCATTGATACAAGGTTTCCTACAGCTGCAGCACCATTGATACACGGTTTCCTACAGCTGCAGCACTACTGATACAGCGTTTCCTACAGCTGCAGCACTGTTGATACAGGTTTCCTACACCGGCAGCAGTATTGATACAAGGTTTCCTACAGCTGCAGCACTGTTGATACAGCGTTTCCTACAGCTGCAGCCCTGTTGATACAGGTTTCCTACATCTGCAGCACTATTGATACAAGGTTTCCTACAGCTGCAGCACTGTTGATACAGCGTTTCCTACAGCTGCAGCCCTGTTGATACAGGTTTCCTACATCTGCAGCACTATTGATACAAGGTTTCCTACAGCTGCAGCACCATTGATACAAGGTTTCCTACAGCTGCAGCACTGTTGATACAGCGTTTCCTACAGCTGCAGCACTGTTGATAAAGGTTTCCTACAGCTGCAGCACTATTGATACAAGGTTTCCTACAGCTGCAGCACCATTGATGCAAGGTTTCCTACAGCTGCAGCACCATTGATACAAGGTTTCATACAGCTGAGCAACCATTGATACAAGGTTACCTACAGCTGCAGCACTGTTGATACAGCGTTTCCTACAGCTGCAGCACTGTTGATAAAGGTTTCCTACAGCTGCAGCACTATTGATACAAGGTTTCCTACAGCTGCAGCACCATTGATACAAGGTTTCCTACAGCTGCAGCACCATTGATACACGGTTTCCTACAGCTGCAGCACTACTGATACAGCGTTTCCTACAGCTGCAGCACTGTTGATACAGCGTTTCCTACAGCTGCAGCACTGTTGATACAGGTTTCCTACACCGGCAGCACTATTGATACAAGGTTTCCTACAGCTGCAGCACTGTTGATACTGCGTTTCCTACAGCTGCAGCCCTGTTGATACAGGTTTCCTACACATCTGCAGCACTATTGATACAAGGTTTCCTACAGCTGCAGCACTGTTGATACAGCGTTTCCTACAGCTGCAGCACTGTTGATACAAGTTTCTACAGCTGCAGCACCATTGATACAAGGTTTCCTACAGCTGCATCACTACTGATACAAGGTTTCCTATACCACTGATACAAGGTTTCCTACAGCTGAGCAACCATTGATACAAGGTTTCCTACAGCTGCAGCACCATTGATACAAGGTTTCCTACAGCTGCAGCACTGTTGATACAGTGTTTCCTACAGCTGCAGCACTGTTGATACAGGTTTCCTACATCTGCAGCACTATTGATACAGCGTTTCCTACAGCTGCATCACTACTGATACAAGGTTTCCTATACCATTGATACAAGGTTTCCTACAGCTGAGCAACTATTGATACAAGGTTTCCTACAGCTGCAGCACCATTGATACAAGGTTTCCTACAGCTGCAGCACTGTTGATACAGCGTTTCCTACAGCTGCAGCACTGTTGATACAAGGTTTCCTACAGCTGCAGCACTATTGATACAGCGTTTCCTACAGCTGCAGCACCATTGATACAGGGGCTAATTTCAGCCATAGTACCACTGATATAGGGTTATTTACAGCTACAGCACTATTGATGCAAAGGGTACCTACAGCCTAGCACTAATGATACTGGTAATACAGCTTCATTGCTACTGATGCGGATTTCTGCTACAGCTATCGCACCATTAATGCTGGTGTGGCTCACAGCTTAAACATTATTGAAACCCCTGCAATTTTCGGCTCGGTCACTATTGATACTGGTCTGGCTATACAGCTATGCTTAGACAACGTTCAACATTAGCTTAGCAGATTCTGAGGTACACAAAGGAGATGGCCCCGCAAGGCAGCACAGAGTATGTTTCATTTCTGTTTATAAAGGAGCATGCGCGGACTACAAACTGATACCCTGGACACAAGGAATATCAAGGGAATCTGTGTATACTACTCACACTTTGCTAAGGATCACAAAAATTGACAACTTTACTTAAACGTAGACATATAATTTGAAATTGTATCCATTTAAAACTGGATGAATAATAATATGGTAACCCCTCATTAGGCAAAACGTCACTTTAAGCTAACCTTATGCACTTGATATACGAGTAACCATAAAAATGGTTTTCATGGTGCCAATCAACCATTTTGCAAATCATTGAACGAGTCATTGACAAATAAACAACACATGTCAATAGGAGGTATGTGATCCACAAGATGCAGTGACATACTGAAACCTAGGATCCATGCTTACAATAAGGTTAGGTATTTAAACCAAATTTGACCCCACGTGATAGTTTTCTGTTGAATCCATGATTTTATCCTTAGCAAAGTGTGAATAGTATGTATCGTATAAACACGAACACGAATTTGTCGAGACACGACGTGGTCTTTTCTTCTCACTCCAGCCTGGTGATCCTTTTTCAGTGATGCAGGTACTCGGGTACGATTGGGCAGCGCTATATTTAGGACATCAACTGTTTGCTCAGACTGAACATATACTCTTTCTGTCTTTTCTGGAAGGTGTTTGCATTGAAAGAGATCTAAACATGTTAAAGTGCGATTCATTCCAAAATGTTTGTTTTTTTGCGACAATGACAAAAGGTCATGTGTGCTCTACGACGCATGCACTGATATTCGCAAAGCTGGCATCTAGGATATTAAGTGACTGACATCTCTGTTTTATTAATGGTAAATATTTACTTCACCATGTTACAAAACGAAAGCCTGGCTTCACGTAGAGCAGTGGTTCCTACAGTATTTTTCTTAAGTTTATCTAAACATCTCTCAGGGCGTATTCGATCATCTGGCGTATCTCCATTCTGTAGTGATAAATGTCCTTGGCCCAGACGCCATCTGTATCTATCCCTAACGTAGGAGATAATGTAACTCGCCATTAGTGACACTTGACTGGACGGCATATTTTCGAATCTGACTCAGTGCAACCTAGTCTCTGGCATTGCTTGTCTTAGACAGTTTGACCACCTCTTCCCATGATCAAGAGTTGGTTTGATACCATAAAAAATCAATTGCAACCTAACAAATGCGAGTGGATATCTTATGTGATGGTAAGAAGTGGTTTCGCAAAAACGGAATCAGACGTGTCCTATTAAGATTTAAACCACTTGATCAAACATATTTACAGCTTCCATGTTTTCTAAATATATTTTATGAGTCACAGTATAACGACATGTGTTTACCGTTTTCAAATTCCAAGGATGAAGCCTACAATGTTGCGCTGTATGAATAACAACATCACTTAGTTCGACTTGGTCGAATGTATGCGGCGTGTGTTTGTGTACTCAACCTCCCGTGAATGCTGGTGAAGCTATTTAATATATCACATATTAAGCCCTTTCGCAAACATCGACAACACTGCCTGTGCGAAGGAGTAAACACTGAATGTTTATGTAACACCGTAACTCACTAAGAAAGACACATTGTCGAACAAACTCTCTGATATCAAAACTGTCATCCGTGGTGCGTGTCTGTTGATTACGTTGAAATGCAAACCAGGGCCCCGTTTCACAAAGCTCTCGTAAGCCTAAGATCTCGTAACTTTTCTCGTAGTGCGTGTCTGTTGATTACGTTGAAATGCAAACCAGGGCCCCGTTTCACAAAGCTCTCGTAAGCCTAAGATCTCGTAACTTTTCTCGTAGTGCGTGTCTGTTGGTGCGTGTCTGTTGATTACGTTGAAATGCAAACCAGGGCCCCGTTTCACAAAGCTCTCGTAAGCCTAAGATCTCGTAACTTTTCTCGTAGCATTCGTACCTCCTATGTTACAGTATAGGAGGTATGAGTGCTACGAGAAAACTTACGAGATCTTAGGTTTACGAGAGCTTTGTGAAACTGGGCCCAGGTGAATGTTAAACAGCACCACTGGCAGCAAGCCTCGATTAGCAACGATTATCGATCAAGTAAAACCGAAACCGATGAACTGATCGAACTGATATAACCATAAGCAGCACTAGTATCAATAGTGCTATGGCTGAACTTAACAAAAGTATCAACAGTCATATATAGCCATTAGTAACACTAGTATCAATAGTGCTATTGCTGAACTTAACAAAAGTATCAACAGTCATATATAGCCATTAGTAA